GGTCGAACTTGCGCCTTGTAAAGTTACAAATGGTGTGCCGACATGAAATTGCTGAGCAGGCCAAGCTTTTTAGAGTCCAATTTAGCCTTCCCTTCCAATTCCAAGTTCCTTCAACATGTCGATGCCGAGGATTCCGATTCTGGCTGCGTCAGCATGGGGAGTGCCCTGAAGTTGAGGTGATACGACAAAGAGGAAAGAAGGGTCTAGTGGTAAACGTGCAAACCTGTATCTTTTGAACAGTGGCGAAGCTAGGGCTCCAAACTAGGGCAAGCCCAATATATAGCTTTGTTGTTTTTAGCAGTTTTATAAAAGTACGCTAATTTGATCTGTCTCCACTCTTCGGTTTTATACTCAGTGCTATCGAGGACGTGTTTAACAAAGCACACTGAAGGCATACTACTGCTAGATAGATTGTATGACATATCAGCAATTGCATACCTTCGGCGGCTTTGAAAAAAGCCGTTTGGGTTTGCTTGAGCGAAAGAAAAAGATATTTAAATACAATACAACAGATAAACAAAATAAAAGTAAGAACAAAATACAAAAAAACTATGTACAAAATTAAAAAAAAAAAAACAAATTATATTCTAAATTGAATCGTCTATCTTTCGTAAGGAAAGATTTGATTACGTCCGCGTAAAATGTTGGTGAATGTTTTAATTATACCAATAACTGTTTTTCAACTGCGATAATTGAGCGGGGGTATGAGCTGTTTTTTCTCAACAGAGTTTAAAGATTTTACTTTTCTTCGCAGATTAGCACTTTAACACACTTCAATTCATCACAAGGAACACTATAATCGTCCATTTTCACTAAAAATCTTTAAAAAAACATAAATTACCAACTCGCAATATTCATTTGCTCAAGTAAATCTGAGTAAACATTGAAATGTGAAGTGAACTTGCAAACGTATTGCCCGCCGCCCCCGCGTTAGACTAACTTGCTAATTTTATATCAAAGCCGGGCTTAATCGCCCTATAGTAATTGCTATATATACAATCGTAGTTATATGTATAAAACATTTTGCAACAGGTTAGAAAGGGAGCGATCGTTTTCTCGAATGCCCGGTAAAATGCCCATGCGAGCTAGAGAGACGACTAATCGCTCAATAAGTAAATAAATAAGCCTTTTATTTCTCATTTTTCATGCTGTTTTACAATAGATAGTCAAGATTCCAAATTGACTCAGGACGTTTTTAAAAAGACTTTATTAATAAACTTATAACTATTAATGTGCGATACATTACTTATATACTACTTAATTAATCCGCGATGGATTCTAACCTAAGGCTACATGTGCGATACATGTGCGATAGGAGCCAAACTAAGACTATCCTAATTCTTATTCTAGATCTTTAAGCTAAAGAACAGTTATCAGTATCCACAGGAAAGACCACCCGTCTTCCAGACGCAATTCAGCAATCTACGCCCACGCTTACGCTTGAATTGTTATGGTCTCCGGTGCAGTTTCGTGAATACCGGGATGCATAACTAGATATTATATGTTTACATGCAACAATAATAAACAAATGATAAAATATTAACAAATCATTTACATAATTAATTCATATTTAGTTACATAATTAATTTGAATTTGTAATTTTTAATGTTTAATATAATTTAAAAATGTATTTTTCATTATATAATTTGATTATTTACACATTATCACTATTAAATAAAAATAAAGAAAATATTAGTTTCAGTTAATTTAATGAGAACCCCTATCTCAGGGTAAAGGCCTCCTCCATTTTTGACCATTGTTTTTTATCTTTCGCCTTGGTTCATCATAAGCTATGTCTCATCATGTCAATCATCTGCTATGTCTTTGATGTCGTCAATCCAACTTCTTACGTGGCCTCCCTCGTTTTCTTATACCCTTGGGCCCTTTCCATACCACGACTCGACGCGTCCATCGAGCATCCTCTATTCTAGCTAGATGTCCTGCCTATTTCCACTTCAATTTCATCGAGTGGATTAAGAAATCAATTTGGTTTGTTTTTTCTCTTATCTTGGTGTGGCGTACTTTATCTCTCCTTCGGAGTCCTAGGATAGATCGTTCCATAGCAGCTTGACATATTCTGATTTTTTCTTTTGCCTGTTTTGTATATATCCAAGTTTGTGAGCGAACGTTTTTCTTTTTCTCATAGAATGCGGCATGTCTCCTTTCATTATTTCCTTGTGAGCCCAGTATTTTTTATAAGAAATGTTTATTCTCCTTATTATTTCTTCTATGTTATTATTTTGGTGGAATGATACTTGCTTTCCAAGGTAGATATAGGTGTCTACATATTCAAACTTTTCGTTTCCTATCTTTATTGATGGTTTTGTAGAATTGGTCATCAGTTTAGTTTTCTGCAGGTAGTCCTACGCGAGCGCTTTCTGCCTGTAGATTTTGTATCATTTGCTCTAATTGTTAACTTGTGTCTGAGAATAATACTATGTCGTCAGCAAAACGTAAATGGCTGAGATAATTCTCATTTATTCTAATACCAACATCTTTCCAGTCAAGGTTTTTGAATATAATCTCAAGTACGGCGATGAAGAGCTTAGGGGATAAAGGGTCGCCTTGTTTAACGCCTCTTTTTATTTTTATGTCTGGGCCACTTGTTTCCAGGCTAATTCTACTTGTGCTTATTTCGTAGATGTCTTTAATTATATTACAATAGAAGTCTTCTATGTTGTTCGCCTTCAGCGCCTCCCATATTGAAATATGTGAGATAGAGTCGAATGCCTTTTGGTAATCTATAAATGCTAAATAGAGAGGCTTTTGAAATTCCTTATATTTCTCAACTATGTTCTCCAGAGTTTGAATGTGATCTACGGTTGAATATCCTCTACGAAAACCCGCTTGCTCTACCAGTTGATTTCTATACATTTTTTGCAGATATTCGACTTAAACACACTGTGAGAAAAGTTTGTAAAGGCTACGTAGTAATCTGATGGGTCGATAATTTCCAATATCTCTTGGATCACCTTTCTTATAGAGTAATATAATACTTGATTTAATCCATTGCTCGGGAACTCTCTGCTCTTTATTTATAATGTTGAATAAATAAGTTATCACCGGTGTTCGTGCAGTGTTCTTGCCAGCTTTAGTGCTTCATTGGGAATACCGTCTGGTCCTGGGCTCTTGTCCGATTTTAGCCTCTTTATTTCTCTATCTATTTCAGTTTCGGTCCAATCGATAATCGTTTGATTTTGAGAGTAAAAATGTATGGTTACGAAATTCCCAAGGTTTTTTGGTCGTAGAGCTTTGCATAGAACTTTGTTGCTATTTTGAGGATGTTTTCTCTATTAGTTGATGGAATAGAGTTTTCTAATAAGCTGGATATCCAAGTTTTGTGTGAGCGAAGTCTTTGTACGCGCGTTTGCAGCTGACGCTAGTCATTATATACTTTTCTATTGTTTTTAATCTGTGGAAATTGTAGTCTCCTGATATTTTTGTTTGTTATTTTGTAGATAAAGCTGAGTTTTTTGTCTTCACGACTTTTAGGTGAGATTTTGTAGTTAGTGGCGTTGTTTAATTAGAATTAATGTTTCCTTGGTCAGAATGTTGTAAGCTAGCGTTTCTCTGCTTGTTTGTCTGTTTTCATGCTTTCTAATAGACATTTTTCTAGATTATTGTATAAGGTTTGAACCGTGTGTGTTTCTTCCAATTTTATAGATTTTAAATTCTGCTCTAGTTTTTCTAGGTAATAATTTGTTTCACTTTGGTTTCTCAATGTTTTTTTGAAAGATATTTTTGATCTAACCATTCTATGATCTGATGGGAACATAATGTTATTTAAAACATGCACATCTTGGAATCGGTTTGGAAAATTTGTGAGTATATAATCTATTTCATTTTTAATTGTTTGGTCAGGAGACGTCCACTTATGACTGCTCTATTTCTTGAAAAAAAAAAGAGTTCATAATGGATAGGTTATATTCTTGCGCATAGTGTATTAATTGTTGACCTCTAGGGCTTCTATTTCCAAAACTGTACTTTCCAAGGTGTTTGCTTTCTTCGAAGTTCCCCTTACCTACTTACGCGTTAAAGTCGCCCATAACTATTACATATTTTCTTGAAGCTTCATGGGCTCTATGTAGAGCGTTGTAGAAGGTTTCGATTTCGGACAATTCAGACTCTTCAGTAGGTGCATAAAATTGTATAATAGTTATTGGTAGGTCATTTAAATCGACATCCAGAAGAACTACACGATCGGATAAACCCCTAAAGCTTTTGATATAGGTTTTTAGATGCTTTTTTTATTATAAATGCCCACGCGAGCGAGAGAGACGACTAATCGCTCAACACAACTCCTTTTTTATGACAGGTTACAGCAGTATCGCTAAGGCTACGAGGTCATGACCTGTGTAGAACAAAGGAGCGCGCAGGAAATTTGAAATAGTTTGAAACAGTTTACGAGTTATTTTATTAGTTGATATTATTGATTGAGCTATTTGATAGGGCAAGCCTGGCTTTTCGGTTTCTATGGAGGCTTCGCCACTGCTTCTGAAGTTTAAAGAAGCGCCCATAGAAAATCAATAATAAAGATGGCTGACAGAAGTACCCTTGGACAGCCTAGGCAAAAAACCTTAATAAACTTAGAGGTAGAGAAGAGAGCTCTAATAGTTTAAAATCTTTATATCACGTCCAGTTAGTCAATTTAAAGAAGTTTTCTCAAGTCTTATTTTTGGAATCTAATAATTTATTTTTATTTGTTTTGTTCCAAAAATAAAGTTAGAGGTTAGAACAACAGGTGAAATACTTGCTGTTAACTCTACCATTTATTGTGAATATTATATCAAATTTTATTCTCTACTTAAGTGGTGTTTGCAAAGGCAAGCTCAGCGCTCCCTCGAACCTTGTGCCCTAGGCTACAGCCTACTTAGCCTGTGAGTAAATCAGGCCCTGTGCACATTACACACAACCTTGGTATTTTGGTCTCGCCCTAATCACCATCGCAAATCTATACTATACTATATATGATGATAATTAATATGATTTATTTTTTAAAGGCTCGGTCCCGTAGCGTTTCGTCGCCAGGTGGGTCGCGTCCACTGTCTCCATATGCTTCACCGTTGCTGCCTAATGCTGCCGGTCTGCCAATGTCACGTCCCAACCTACACTTCAGTTCTCAGGTAAAATTGCTGATTACGGTTGTATGTTTAGATTTTGAAATTGTTTCCATTCATCCACCCATTACAGCATATAAAAGTCTACTGATTAAGATAGTCCGCATCGTTTAGAATAGTTGGATTTTGCTATAGTTGTCACGCTCAACGTGCTGGTTGACAACCGCAGTATTTTTATTATTTTGATTTAATATCAGGAAGATGTTACTGCCCATCTCCTGTTTCAGTTTGCCCACCCACTACGACACCCACGGGACGATACGGGGTAGTAGATATTCTTATACCGCCACTACACGATTAACGGTTTGAAATTGTTTGTTGTTTTTTATTTTAGAATAAGGGTGACAAACAAGCACACATTCCACCTGATGATATTGGATGCTGTGGTCCAGAGACATCTATGTCTATCCTCGATTACGGATCGAAATTCAAATGCGTTGTCATCCGTGAGGACTACTATGGAATGCCAATAAAAAGGTTCTCCTGTTCTCTACACTCACCATATGAAACAGCAGCTTTGAGCTGTTATTTTACGCTGGTATACTGTGGGCGTGTTCATCATTCATGCCACAACCAAACTACCAACATAGCTGACGCAAGGCACAACATATAAAATTATATACATAAAATGTGTGCCGAAGTTTCGTACGTTTTGACACTATAAAGTTATCGCGATAAAAGCTGTGGTAATATTAGCAACTTTGATATTATGCATGAACTATCGTGCAATAATCCAAAATGGCCGAAATCATTTTCAAATGTTTCAACTATGGACGACGAATTTCTTTACTTCTACATGTGTAGAAGAAAGAAATTATTGACATTATATTACATTACATAATGCATTTATTTAAATCTAAAAAGAAGAAACTTAAAATCTAAAAAGAGGAATTCCGGTACCATTTCACTCACTCCACTCCATTTTTACTCAGCCATCTGCATGCGTCTTAACAGATCGAAAACAACGGCCGAAAAGAACAACGCTAGTCTGATCAGGCAACTTCTTTGATGTACCGCCACCCACGCGATAACACCCGCATACGAACACGCTGCCCGTATGTTCGCGACGATAACCGATAATAGCTGGTCACATCTGCGAGTATCGTGTCGCTTTGTGTCGATAGCTGGGTGCTACCATCTGCTTGGGATCCTATAATAAATAAAATTAAATCCCAACCCAAGCATACAACTGCAGGACTTCAAGATACCATAAGTTCATACTGCATAGATCGGAACAAAAGTTAAATTTTAATCTATGGTAACCGCGGTTAACTATGACATATGGACGTTGAACATCTCAGTCCTGCCCGTGACCATGAGTGCTGTAAAGCGTTCGAAACGTCGGGTATTTAAAAAGTTAAAATATACGCGATAAATTCCGTAAAAACTAGTATTATTTCAATGTGTAGTGTTCGCGTAAATATAAGAAATCATTTTTGGACTGTTTCTTCTATAATAACTTTTTGTACGTAGTAGAGCCACGCTACATCTTATAGTTGTATCACAAATGGGTCGGCTCAACCGGGGCAGGACCACGCTCTCACAGAATACCAGCTTAAAATAGTAGCGTAATGCTGCTGTGTTTCGTATGGTGAGTGTAGAGAACCGGATACCCTTTTTACTGGAATCGAGACATTCCATCTTAAGCCTCTGGGGTGACAACGCATTTGCATTTTGATTCTTAATTGAGAATAAATATGTCTGTGGGCCATAGCATCCACTTACCATCAGGTGGACTGTGTGCTCGTTTGTCACTCAATGCTATAAAAAAATTCGTTGAAGCATGTGTCCATGTCACAAAGGATGATTGGGCACAAGTGGTAGAAAAACAAAAAAAATTATTATGAATGACTTTGTAGGGGTCATTAATTTTGTCTGCATTATTGAAAATCAAATAATAATTAATATAAACAACGACATATCTACTAGTTATACTGAAAATGATTGAATAAATTTATTTTTAATCTACTTTCAATCTTAAATTTTTATAACTGTGCCTCTAGAAATAAGCAGTACCTAACAACAAATACGAAGAAACTGATAAATCTTGTTTTAAATTATCCGTTTTTAATTTATTCTGGTATTATTCAAACCAAACTCGAATCGAATATTGTACGTTCCCATTTTTTGGTTGGCATGCTTGGTGCAATAAGTCTTATAGCTGTCAAAATGTATATCTTAGATTTGATTGACTATAATGTATGTACATTATCATAAAGTTACAATTTACATACTAACATAAAATATATGTAGATTCTTCTACTACTTCTAATTCTAAGATTTACCGCAATTGTACACATTGGTAGATATTTTACGTCTGGCGTAAACTAGATGATTATTTTATCATTTGTCAAAAGCTGCTGGCATTTACCATAGTCGCTCCTTACGACACTTACAGAAAATTTAATGGTCTGACGGATTTTCTGATGTCGCCATCACACGGCAGAGTAACGTCAAATAATTCATTTTGAAAAGTGGGCATTACCAAAAAAGCCTTCCGTTTCTTTATCACAATTCTCAATGTCATCCACACCATCTCAATGCTTAGCGGGTCCACTACCGTGCGTTTTTCTCTGACATTTTGTTTGTGGTTGAGAGATAGGGTGCATCGACTAGTATCAATATTTCAAAATAATTTATCAAAGTTATTATGAGTTTAAAACATTTGGTAATACTAAGACCCCGTTTTTATTTTCTTTGCAAGCCGTACTTTTCAAGTCTTACTTTTCAAGTGACAGTTGGCAGACCGCGGTGATTCGAGTTGATTGACGTTCTTATTCTTAGTACCCGGACGCTTTGCTCGTTTTTTTTTGAAATTGCATTTAGATACAAATTACATACTGATGAAACAAAAATAATATTTTTTGATCTTATTAACATAATATAAAACACTGAACTGGTTATTTGAATAAAAAATCATGAGTGCAATTAATTTTAGTATTTAAAAAAAAAACGGGCTCGAAATAATAGATTTTCTCACAAAAGAAGGGAACTTGAAAAAAAAGGAAAAAAAATCGGACCGAAGACAGGACGCGAATCAAGGCATTACGATTTCGCGACCGCTCCATATCCACTCGAGCTATTACGATCATTAACACAGTGTCAAAATTTACCTTCTTATATTGTAGCAGTTTTCCATTGCCTGAAAACACGGACAAAAAGACATTTTCTAAAAATAAATCCTAGCTAGATCGATTTATTGATCCCCGAAACTCTCTGGACACTAATTTTATGAAAATCGTTGGAGCCGTTTGCGAGATTCCGATTATATGTATATATATAAGAATTGCTCGTTTAAAGGTATTACACTTACAACATAAATAGGAAAAAACACAACACATGAGAAAAGGAAAAGGTCTGTACATTCTCGTGGGAAAGAGATTTTGAGGGTTTATAAAATTATAGTATTTTTATAAAATATGAGCTTAATCTACAATATGTAACGTAATTAACGCACACACTCAGACACCCCAATTAGTATATTATGTTATAATCATAATACATACACTGAATTTTTAGTTAAACATTTTTATGCACTGATTATTTATCAAACTAGTTATACTAATTCCGGAAGAATGTTGTGGTCACAGTACAAATCCACGAACGCAAAGACTTTAACGTGCTTGAAATAAAGTTAATTTTTCTTTATTTTATTGAATGACAGAATTAGTAATAATACAAATAAAACTGCACTCTTAAAAGTCTTATTGTCTTAAGTTACGGTCCATTTCAGTTTGTTATGACTGTACAGATTTAGTGTGACCGTAATTTACGTAGTTTTAATTATTTTTGGGATAAAAAATTACCTATATTAAAAATGATAGGAATCGATTCAGTAAACGATTCAGAACAAACTATTTACTTTCTCAAAGTGCGTTAATTATGTAACGTGTTGTATATTAATATATTCCAATTTGAGATTAAAACTACTTTTACGGATTTTATCGCGTTTAATTTTACTTTTAATTATTTTTATTTTTGATTCCTGACGTTTCGGGTGCTTTCCAGCACCCATGGTCACAGGGACTGAGGTGTCTGACGTCCTGATGTTATTGTTAAACCCGGAGTACCTTCAGCTTTTTAAATTATTGTTTATCGTCCGATCTATGCAAAATGAACTGGTTATGTCCTGAGGTCTTGCAGTGGTATGCTTGGGTTTAGTTTTAATTTTATTGGTTATAGGATCCCAAGCAGGTGGTGGTACCTAGCCTCCTTCTCTATTGAAATTAGGATGTTTTTTTAATTTCAATAGCCTCACGTATCATCCTTGGTAGGAGTCGGTGTTCTTTCGCGAGGATTTGTGGTCTATCAAATCTAATGTAATGTTTGGCACCCGAAACGTCGGGAATTAAAAATAAAAATAATTAAAAGTAAAATTAAACGCGATAAAATCCGTAAAAGTAGTTTTAATCAATGTATAGTGTTCGCGTAAATATAAGAAATCATTACAATTTTAGGTTTAAATGTATTGTTGTTGCAGGTGCGACGGCCAACGAGTGAGCGATTCGTTAAGCCGGCGGTGCCCGCGGTGCCGGGCGGCGCGTCCATGTTGTGCCGCGGCGCGCTCGAGCCGCCCGCCGCGCCGCCCACGCACGCCCCGCACCCCGCGCCCCCCACCTCCCCGGCACTCGCGCAACCCGCTAGCCCCATGGACACCTCCGTGGACACCTCCAGGGACTAGGCCCATTAACAACCTGCCTACTTACAGCTGCAGCGACGCCTAAGCCTGCTTACTGATCACCCAGGCGTAGCTTCATAGACGACGCCGTTTACATATGCCACGGATCTTTGTCGACGAAGTATTAACGTTAAGCGTGTCCCTGCATGCTACATGACACATGCACTACATGCAGTCTTGCGTGTCATACGACACGTGTACATTACTTTATAAAAAAGTTACAAACGTCTGGGGAAGTTTCTTCTAGTTGGAAGTATATCCTTTTCTATATCACCATTAATATGTCCTTCTCTTTATAGCTACATCCCCCAAAGCAATGTAATCGCAAATAGAAGAAAATATATGTTAACAGGATGCATAAGTTGCACAAAACATCTTCAAAATGCTTTAACGCTATGCATCCGTGGGTAGAAGGCCATAAGCTTTACCTCTTATATAGGTATAGTGGAACGTCATCATGCTTGATATAATTGTTTATTGCAACAGCTCATGTCATGACTGGGTGAGCCTTATCGAGTCTTATATAATATCTTCAAATCATCTTTAACTAAAATGCATTTTCACTGCAAAGGAGTTATAATTAGTAACACAATTTTTAAATTATATAGACATATAAAAGAATCTTACAGTTTTTGGAGCAAACTTACTACATACACTTCATATGATTGCAGCATCTAACTGGGCATTGAGGGCTAATAATTTTTCGCTCACCAAATTTCGCTAGATGGGACTGAGGTGAAGTTATTTGGTCTACAATGTCACGATAAGTGAACACCAGCGTTTCAAATATAAGTTTTCTAGTGTATGTGTTTATGTACACAAAACAATGTCTCAATGGTTTCTCTTTAATTTTTTGCACATTTTTTAACTCTTTTTAATAATTTTACTTTTAGAAATATTCTAAGTTTGTGTTATCAATTTTTGATCCAACTAATATAAAAAACCACAAATGTTTCAAAAATAAACTAACCTTTTTATTTATTTAATAATTTAATTTCCACTTCATGAAATCTGTCAAATATTTCCCCTCATTGCTAAGTGGTGCCGTCCCGGTCGCAGAAAGAGTAGTGAGTGCCCTCATTGTCTACTCGAAACAATATTATTTTGGAATTGTCCTTTTCGTAAAATTCGGCGCTTTTAATTTATAAATTATTCGAAAATGTTAGTCTTGTTGAATATTGGAAATTGGTTGAAAATATATCAATGGTTGATATATTGCATCAAAAATGCTGCTGCATCTTTAGGTCAAAATTAAAGTTTTACGTCATATAAAAATAACTTATTTGTAGGTTTTTAACTATTACAATAACAATATATGTATAAAATACTACTTACCATAGATTATATACTCAATATTATGCTGTATGCGGTACCACTTACGGTCGAACACGATACATTACGAAGTGTATATGTAACGGCGAGTAAAAGAAAATTATAAGCTTAATCAAATGTTGAAGTAATTGTCCATCAGTTAACAATAATAAAATAATCTTAATTGATGATCAGATGTTCCTTGTAATTCAAAAATGGTTGATTTCAGTCTAGTTACTAAAACGAAGCACACGACAGTCGAGTGAGATAAAATGACGCATTAATTAGGAGTGGACTAAAATAGATCAAGAAAAATGGAGGCTTACATTTACCCAGATATACATACATTGTTAAGATTACAAAACGTATCCGCGGTCGATATAACTACACCTATATTCTATGGATTATAATATAATAATGTACTATAGATCTGTGCAGTTTGTGGGACCGTATTTAAGGTCACACTAGTGCTATACGTCCTTGAGTATATTTATAATGCACATCATTCACTGCCCTATAGACTACGTGTTCTCCCAACGTTATTTATATTCCGCCTTTGCTGTTCATAATTAACCCTCAAAATAATCCTGCATTGCAAATGGAAGACGGCTTAGGCTCACGCATTTATTTATATTTTTTGATTTCTACGCTTACTTGGGAGCTCGCGTGTCGATTAAATGTTACTATAGACAAACGTTCATTTAAATCGGAGTAGTAGATACGATGGTAACGACTCTTGGGTCTGGGGTACAACGGCAGGTTTATTTATAGGCTGTGTAAAGAAAACATGTGAATAAGGGTTTTAGGTGATTAAAGATTGTAATGTATTGAATATATCACACTCTGGATAAAGCGCTACTTCCAAGTGTTAGTTGAGTGAAATGTATATGATTATTTTAAGTACGTTTTGTTGTGCTCTCAAGAGCAAATTTGTTGTATTCGTGGACACTCGCGGAGTAGTGCTGAAATGCCTACGGACTCAATTGAACTGTGCAAATTTTCACTTTAACGTTTTTTTTTCAATGTTAATTAATAAAAGAAAATATATTATGCATTATAATTACACAGTCTTTTATTTCAGAACATCATTGTACTTATTATAATGTTTATATCGCTTCTGTATTCTTTAATGACTGGATTGATTTTTAAGGTAAGTATTAAATGAATCGCAGTGTCGTGCAATAGTAAGAGAATTTCATCTCCGTGGGAATCGAAAGAAAGAATTAGCAGAAACGTTAAACGTTAAACAAATGTTACACTAATACATATGCTTAATTCTAAGACGGTAATAGACAGCATATGAGAGAAAAGATGAAAGAAAGATATAAGCTGCAGAAAGTTCATGCGCAAACATTGATTGAGGAAGTACGTGAAAGGTGTAGAATAGAAGCGGACGAAAGGTTGTCGCACAACTTTAAGGAAAACTCCAAATTCTTCTAGAAAGAGGTTGGAAGGTCCCGGAGTGGTGTGACAGCCTTAAGAATGAACAAAGTGCTTTCGAAAACCAAAGACGTTCTCTCAGAAGAATCGGACGTCATGCAGCGATGGAGCGAATTTTATAGAGAAATGTATGCGTGTCATGATTTTAGTTAAGGATCCGGGGGTGACGCCGTGACTGGCACGCCAAACACGGACCTCGATGACACTGAGATCATCAGCATGAAAGAGACTGAACGTGCGATTCGAAGTTTGAAATGTGGTAAGGCTGCGGGACTAGACAGAGTTACTGCTGAAATGGTCAAGTACGGTGGGCCTCGCGTCTGGGACAGCTTTCATCTGCTGTGCAATTTGTGCTGGCGGACGGGAGGCGTCCCGGATGACTGGCTATCCGCGGTCATTGTGCCTTTATATAAAGGTAAAGGTTTACATTTTGACTGCGGGTGCTATCGGGCGATCAGCTTGACCAGTTCAGCAAGTAAAGTTTAGTCGAAGGTTTTGACACGTAGGATGCAAGAGAAATCGGAAAGATTATTATGGGAGGCACAATGCGGATTTAGGCCTGGAAGAGGATGCACGGATCAAATTTTTTGTGGAGGATTTTCTGTGCTTTTGTGGATCTGGAGACAGCATTTGATAAGGTTATAAGGAAGACAATGTGGGAACTGTTGCCGGAATATGGTGTGGATGGTCGATTGTTAAGGGCTGTGCAGTCACTTTATTATGACTGTAAAGCCTGCGAAATGTGAAATATGGGTAAATCAGGAATGTCTAGAACAGGTAAATGAAATTGTATACTTGGGGAGTGCTTTCAGCCGGGATGGAAGATGTGATTTAGATGTGGACAGGCGTGTCGCTGCCGGGAACAAAGTCAATGGTGCCCTGAATGCGTTAGTCAAAAGGCAAGGCGTAGTGAAGAGTGCACGCCTTGCAATACATAACGCAGTGATGGTACCGACTTTGTTATATGGCAGCGAAACCGGGGTATGCCAGAAGATGCATAAAAGCAAGTTGAATGCATTGGAGATGCGATCTCTTCGTAAAATGTGCGGCGTTACCATAGCCGACCGAAAGCGAAACAAAGAGATTCGCAATACGGCATGGTTGAAAGATGACCTTATCACAAAAATTGATAGGGGCGTACTCCGATGGTTTGGGCACCTTGAGCGAATGAGTGAAGACCGAATGGTGAAGAAAATAGCGCGAAAGTAAATATTAAAAGGTGTCGAGGTAGACCGAGACTAACTTTCGAAGACCATGTGAGCAAATTACTCGAAGAGGGGAAGTTCAAGAGTACTCGGATACCTAGACGTGCATGTATGAAGAAGATAATGAACCTGAAGGAAGCGAAAGACGTATTTAAGGATCGTGACACTTGGCGATCTGTTCTCTCTGGCTACCCCGTTAGGGATTGTGCGTGAAGATAAGTAAGTACTAAGACAGTGATATAAACTAAGTGCACATTCAATAATAGGTAAACACCGCATGCTTAGTGCTCACAGTATTTCCTACAAGCTTTTACATTGTAGCTAAAAATATACAATACACAATTAAAAAATAAATAAATTAATACAAAAAAAAATTAGGTACTACAAAAAAATATTAATAGTTTGATACATTTTGTACCGAAAAACTTTAAAAGAGTCGTGGTGAATATCTATTACTATAAGTAAGTGTTTAAAATTCTGCAAAGTCTGGGTATTGGGCAATTAGATTCTAGTACAGTTCTACGAAGGGGCGGCGAAAGGGGAGTAATGTACTTACGTGGATATCTACTTGGGATACTAAAATTAAATTTACTTAGAAGGACAATCTAACTTATTTTTAAATATTTTATATAAAAGCTGCAAATTCAGGATATCCCGGCCTTTAGACAGCGAGACCATTTTAAATGTCTTTAATCTAAACATATGATGCATTTTTATATGATTTTCGTGTTGTAAAGGCAAGATGCCATAAAAATCTTTTTTGTATGCGCTCAAGCCGTAGGGTATGGGTAGAATAATGGGGACGCCAGACTGTGCTACAATATTCTAATATACTTCTAACAATTGAGAGGTATAAAGTTATTCGTGGTAACATTACGGAATACTTTACTATTTCTTCTAAGAAAACCTAATGATTGAGATGATCTTTTAATAACACTTTCTAGTTGTGGTATAAAAGTAAGCTTTTTATAGAATACTACACCTAGGTCCTAAACAGTTTCCATTTCTTGGATAACTACTCCATTGAGGGTATAAACCGATGGGAAA